TAAAGCGATGAGGTATGTACTAGTGAGGGAAGGTTTTGTTGTCTCCCCCCCATTTCCACCCCATGTTGGAAGTGAGTGGGGTGTGTTGGTTGTGAAATATGCAAGCATCACCCCTAGCTCTGAAGGAAAGTCAGAGCAGTGCAGGTTCCCATACTCTGTTGTGTCAGCAGAGTCCATTCGTAATTCATCAAACTCTCCTCTGTGTGAGGCATTATTTTATAGATAATTGGTTGCCTCTCATTTACTCATAACAGAGCCTTGCAATTTCAAAGCAACTGAGTCAGCCCAAAACAGCATTATTAGTAGTTACAGATATACTGTCAAGGCAAAATGTTGACACTGGCATTTTTGAAAAATCACCATGATTTCAGCCACTGGACCACACATGTCATAATCACGGACAGTTGAGGTAGACAAGGAAGAACAGGTTTGCTTAGTGAGTATGTGTCTGGTCATTGAATTATTCCTTTTAAAATCTATCCTACCAGCCTGGAAAAATCCTCAGCTTTCTCAAAGAAGGTCTACTGTGAGCAAGGCAGCCTATAATGAGAAAGGCCCAGGGATCATAACTCCCACTGTTCTCTGGGGAGGCAAAGGATTACCTTCAGTTCCTTGACCAGTTCAATCCTAAACTGACTAGGTAACCCCCAAATGGGGGTATCATCAATTCCAATGACAGTGTTTACCAACACTCTTTGAGCCACCCCCACATTGATAGGCTAAACGGGTTTCTTGCTCTGGCCGGATGGCTCTGTTTGTTGGAGTGTCATCCTGTACACCAAAAGGTTATGGGTTCAATTCCCTGTTAGGGCGCATACCTAGGTTCTATCCCTATTGGAGCCCATGCAAAAGACAACTGATCCATGTTTCTCTCACACCTCAATATTTCTCTTTCTCCCTATCTCTTCCCCTTCCCCTCTCTCTAAAAATCAATGGGCATATCCTTGGGTAATGATTTTTATTTTAAAAAGTGGTTTTCTTTAGCATGCAGTATAAGAGAAGACTCCTTGTTTAAGGCCAATGATACTTTAGTATCTTCAAAAGCTCTTTACAAAGTAAGTATCCATCATCTTAAACACAATAAGAAAAGAGATTTTGGGTTGCTTTTCCCTTCCTGTCCTGTTCATGTCTCTACAAGATTGTGCTGTCTCTCCTCTTACTGTGTAGACTATGTTCATAGAACCAAATTGCAGTAGAAAGGAATTACAGACTCAGTTATTTGGATTAGATAAATCAAGTCCCTAAGGCCTAAATTGGGAATCCTAGGGACTTTAGAATAACAAAATCTAATATCCCATTAAATGAATTATTTCATGATAGCCCAAAAGAATAGCCATCCAGTTATATGTT